AAGGACCCCAAACATTAGTATGAACCAATTGAAAAGGAAAAGATGAAATAAAACTACTTTTATTCAATGGAAGAGCAGACATTCTAGTTAGTTTACAACCACGATAGTCCGAAATATCATCAATGGGAAAATTGCCTAAATGTCCAGACCGAACTAACATTCTTAAACGGTCACTTGACAGATGACCTAACCTAGAATGCCAAATATAAAATAAAGAAGACTTATTGTTTAAAATAAAGGAAGACAATGTAGTAGAAGACATGTCTAGAGGAACATGCAAGCTGTCCAAGATATATAGTTCTCCAACTCTACGCCCGATCCCAATCTGTCTCTTGGATACCCAATCCTGCACAACACAATGAGAAAAAGAGAAAACAACAACAAATCCAGAATCAGATAATTTTGATTACAAAGATGGATATGCAGATAAGCTACTCCAACATATCCGCGAGGGAGTGTTACCCCTTAGCATCTACAACATATGTACAAGGAACCCCACCGCATCTACGTCAGGGCTGAAGCTTAGGCCCCCCGCGTACTCCAGGCGCTAAAGAGTATGTTTAACCCCAACAAGGGGTTATGGAGACTCGAACTCAAGCCTTGAGCGAGGGATTCTAAGGTGTTATCTACTGAACCAACCCCCTGTTGGTAGAATCAGATAATTGACTAACAGAAATAAGACTGAGTGAGAGGTGAGGCATATAAAATACAGGAGAAAGAGACAAACAAGAAGAGGAAATAGAACCACTAGTGTACAAGCATAGAAGAAGGGGAGAGATGCAACAGGGGTCATATGATGTGAACAACCAGAATAAAAAATCCACGAAGTGTGGATATTACTTGAAGAAGATAAACCAGACAAACCTAACTGAGTGGTAGTCATAACAAAGGCCTGGGATGAAAGATTTGGATTGGCCACCATGAAAGATTGCTCAAACATAGACTACACATTAGAAGACGGACCATTCTCAGAAATTGGTGCAGAAAAGGCGGCAGATGAGTGAGATCTTGAAGATTTCGGCTTAGAGGACGGTGGACTAGACGAATGACCCTTGGGCTGCAAAAGTTTAGGACAAGCATGTTTCCAATAGCCTTTCTGATGACGGAAGCTGCATTCATCCATGGAAACCCGAGGTTTAGGCTTACCGGTAACCTGAAATAAAGATGGTGGGGTAGGCTAGAGCGGAAGAGTGGCAAAAACTGTCTGGGAAGCAGGAGCACCATGAGCCACCTTGAATCGAGTTTCTTCCACAATAAGCTCACGGACAGCACTATCCATAAAAGGCAAGGGGGACCGATGAAGAATAGCTCTCCGAAGTCTCAAATTGATCACAGAGTGCCATAAGAAATTGAATAAGACGTTGCTTCTCCCGATACTTAGTATAACTGTCAAGTAATAGCAAATATGATGGTTCCGTTAAAGCAAGCTAATCCCAATAAGTAGTCATCTCATTGTAGAACTCCTAAATGGACTTATCTTTCTGACTAGTGCTGCGAATAGACATCTCAAGTTCATACTGTTTTGCAAAATTAGGCTCAAGGTACATAGTTTTCAAATAGTCCAAAACTTGTTTAGAAATAGAATACTTGGAAAAATTCATGCCAATGGTAGTTTGAATTGAATTATGAAACCAAGTAAGAATTTGAGCATTTTCCTTATCCCATTTAGCAACATCGGTCTTAATTTCTTTGGATTCTGTAGGTCTAATAGTCACACAAATAACATAGTTCCACATGCCTTTACCTATTATAAAATTTTTCATTACATGAGACCAATAAGAGTAATTGATACCTTGCAGTTTATCATCAGTTATATTGCTATAATTAAATAGCACAATAAAATCAAAGTAGATTGAAAAAAAACCACTAAGAGAGAGAACTACAAATATAATAACCACTAAGAGAGAGAACCAATCACCCACAAATATCAATAAGAGAGAACCAAGTCAAAGAAGAGAGAGAGAGAGAGAGAGTGAACCCGAAACCAGAGAGAAACCGAGGCTAAGAGATTGAGCCAAGAAGAGAGAGAGAGAGTGAACCCGAAACCAAAAGCAGAGAGAAACTGAGGCTAAGAGATTGAGCCAGAAGTCGAATTCGAAGTCAATTTCAGAGTTTGGAGCGAAATCGAGTGGCAAGGTCAAACCTTACTTTGATCGCATGAACCAAAGGGAGAGACAGAGAGATCATCAACCAAATTCACATAGGGGAATCGATCGAACCAGACAGAGAGAGCTTCGATCGAACCAGATGAACCAGTTGAGGGGTCAAAACAGGTTAAAGAGCATTCGGCTGTGTGAGACACGCAACCTAGGTTTCTGACTGAAGCAGAGACCAGAACTAGCTACCAGGAGGAGTAAAGTGCTTCGAAGTGTGAAGAAGAAAATAGAGAACCCCAGCAAAGCCTTGCAAAGAGAGAGAAAGGGCTATGACGGCCTTGCGAAGAGAGAAAAGGGACTACGATGGTCGATGATGGCCTGCGACAGGTATTCTAGCGTCTGGGTTGTGGCTCTAATACCATGATAACAGAGAAGAAGAATATTGTATAGTGACTACTGAATTAATCAACCAAAAGGGCTGAGTACAAATATATAATCTAAATAGAATGAAACCCTAATAACCTAAATGACTAAACTACCCTTAATGAATAATATAAAATACTAATTCACAGTTGTTATATCAATTCTAATACCAAATATAAAGAATATTAAAGTTAGTTATGTGGTTGTTTTGTGATTTTGTTTTTGAACACACACCCTTTAATGCACTTGTTTGTTTGCTATGTTTTAGGGTCCTGGTGGGTGTATAGATGCTGTTTCAGCTGCAATACTAGTCTTGGAGGTATGCTGCTTGTTTCTTTGTGTGTGTGTGTGTGTGTGAGAGAGAGAGAGAGAGAGAGCATGTGTATAATAGATTCTGCGTGTTTATGTTGCTATGCTGTACTTTATTTGAGGCATTAAAGATTTACTTTGTGTTGGATGTTGATTGTCTTGAGTAAGTTACAATGTTGAATCTATAGAAATTTGGAGCATGCAAATAATCGTTAGTGGTGGAAAATAGAACTTTTCATTCTAAATGAACTAGAAGGATGTCATGCACTATGGGCATGAACTTATCTCATCGTATGATTTTTGAAATTTATTTTTTAATGAATTATTGCAACTGTCTTCATTGATTTATATTTTTAAAAATTCTTACACAAATGAATTAATCAATTCCCTTTGTACTTTTTTGGAAATAAAAAAAATATAACATGTCTTTGGAAGTAGGCTTTACCGAATGGGATGTTGCTTTAATATAACAATATAGATTAGAATAAGGGTTAAGAGGATTTTCTGGATGCTGCTCAGCAATTTCCATATTGCTAGATTTGCTTTACAATGCAGGCGCAGGTTCACTAAAAGAAATTTTTTAAAATCACTCATATTTTGAAGCTAGAAAAAATTATGGATCTTAATGAACCTTTAAACTTACGAGACTTTGAAAAACAAAAGCTACTCTATATTTATTTTCAAAGCAACTTTTAATTTGAAAAAAATAAATTAGTTTCTCTTCATCAACCACAACCCCAGGCTATGCCTCGTAACTACATTGTGCTTGGCAATGGTTCATCTGCACATCAATGATCCTTACTGTTTTTTTACTTCAAGAACAATCCACCCTTAGAAAACAATAAAAGGAAAGCACAAATTAGAACAAAAATTGTCTTGATTTTCCTGTCTTGGCTATTTGTTTTCCACGATCTTTTGTCTATGTCCAAATCAATAGAGGATGATATGTTGCTGTAGGGTTGCTTCTGAATCTCTATTGGAATTATATGTCTCTAAGGTCCTTTTCTTCCTCTTCCTTTTCAAAGTATTGTATTTAGACTTCAGAGTTGTCTTATAGTGATTATTTATTGTTGTATTATCTTGTCTGCTAGACAAAAATGTTTACCCAAGTCATCCTGAGCTTAGCATGAATCAAGATTGCTGCTTCATTAATGCTACTGTCCCTGTTAGAATCTCTTATTGCTACTATATTGGTGACTTAATGCAGTCAACAAGTAGTTGTGTGGAGTTGATATTAAAATTGAATGGCCCCTAGAGCTCACATGAAGATTGCATAATGAAGGCTCATCATAATACCACTTTGATTGGCAGATAACAGTTGAGCAACCATGATCAAGATGACATACTAGAAATAAGATTTGATTTTGGAAGCAGCCTATAACTGAGACATTTCTTATTTGATGAGATGCATAGAGCCCAAAATACTTTATACATTTTTTGGTGGGGAGAGTGGGTTGGGTTTGTGGATGGGACTTTTAAATGCTCTACTTGTGCAACAACACAACCAAGCCAATCTTCTGCATGTCACTTGCTTGGAAACTAATCTGTTTTAAAGCTACAAAGCTGAAAAGTAATAGTAGTGGGTGGTACGAAGAGTTCTTTATTTTCTTTTGTATAGGATGCTTACATGCAACTTTTATTATGTGGAAAAAAGTAAGAAATTTTACAACGTGGACTCTAAAGTCATGTCAATAGTTAACTGAAATTCATGGATTGTTCTTTTCTTTAGTATTTTGTGAAATTTTTGGTCTTGTATATGGTAGATGGAATTACACATTTGAAACTACAAGATAGTTCAATGACATTTTAGCTGTGCAATAATTGGTTTGGATGAACATAAGCTAGTGGTACATGGGCTGTCTGGGATCGTTGGATTGGTTCAAACTTAAGGGGACCAATACAATGCCCTAGGGGGATGGTTGGGCTTTGATGTTGTAGGGTTGTTGGGTGTGTTAGATATGGCCCTAGAACATTCCTCCTATCTGTTTGATGTGGAAAGAGCCATTTCATGCAGTGGAAATTTTTTGATAGTGTTTCTCTTCTGAATTCTCTCTAGCTATTGTGAATTTCATTATTGATGAAGTTTGTTTCTTTAGAGGATGATCCAAGCACAAATGCTGGGTGTGGCTAAATTTGACGGAAGATGGTCATGTGGAATGTGATGCCAGTATCATGGATGGTGATTCTGGGGCATTTCGGGCTGTTGGAGTGGTGCCAGGTATTCCTGAAGTATAATTAATGGAAACCATACTCTACATAAGTAAATAAGTTTTTATGTTGTGAGCTGCAATTTCTTCTATTCTTTGGCTTTGATAATGTTATGGAGCTTTCATTTTCTTTTTATGCTCTTCATTTCTGTGAAGTTAATAATCAACAGGTGTCTGGAATGGTATCCAATTGCTACTTTGTTGGCCAAGGAACAAATGTTGGGGTCAACACTGCTGGGTCGAATACCTCCCATGTATGATTACACCTTTGTTTATCTTTGAATTTTGATATACAAATTACCTCTTTCTGGCAGCATTATCACAGTAATTATTTATTTCTTTTGATTGTATATCTCATGTCCATGAGTTAGGAGTTGGGGATTTTTCATTGGGAATTATGAGTAGTGCAACATTATTTTGTTAGAGATGTTATGTAATGCATACTATGTGCGAATAGTGAATATGAATCTGCCTTCTACACATGTTTAGTACTTGTAAAACTCAAATCAAGTGAAACCATGAAGGGTAATGGGTGAAATTAGTTACAGTGATTTGGTCTTTAATTCAAAATCTGAAAGAAATGATTTATTGAGGAGATAAATTAGTTTCTTACTTCAACATCATGTCAAATTGGATTTTTGTTCTCCCTCAGATTTTTGTTTTCTTATGAGGCATTTTTTGTGTTTCCTAGCTTATTGGTTGGGAAAGGTGCACGTATGTGGGCAAAATCCAAGGGTATTCCTTTGCCGGCAAGTATACCAGAGGCTGATGAGGTAAACTCTCTTAGTTTTCTGCCATATCTGTCTAAATTTCCATTTCCCTATATATCAATATTTTTTCTTGAATACGTTGGTCTTAAATTTCTTTAGTAATCTGTTCTTTATTCTTGAATTAGTTATCATACTTGCTGTGTATCTTTTGGAAACAGTGGCTGGTTACAGAGAGGGCAAAAAGACAGTGGGAAAAATACAAATCAATGCTTGATGATGCAAAAGCCATGAAAGCAGAAATTGATGGAGAACTTTCTTCTAGCACTCGAGCAAATGCTGCTTTATCAGGTACTCCATGCCATTTAGATTTTAAATAGAACATTCCCGTACCTCCCAAAGTTGGCAATAATTAAGTGGTGTACCATAACTGAATATGTCAATTACTTGTTTCATGATAAATATGTTTGAGAGAGGAGGATGTTCATGCTAAATATGTCAATTTCATTTTTTATTTGGTATCCACGACCATAGCTTGAGGTTATGGGTTCAAGTCTTGGGACCACCACTTTACATATTATGCTAAAGGTTAGGTGTGTACTGAATATTTCCCCTCCCAAACACACATTAATGTGTACTTATTGGGCGTTGTTTTTTTTTTATCCAAAACCACAATATCACTCTAACCCCCTCAACTAAAAAATTTTATACTTTCTTTGGTTTTTAAACCCAATTATAGTTTTTGAGTTTTTTGATTTTTGTGGTTTTTTTTTTTTTTTTGGGATCTTTAGTAAAACTTTTTCTTTCATATTTTAGTAAAAAAAAAAATTTAACTTTTAAATGCACCTAAAAAGTAAAATATTTGTAAGGAAATCTAAAAGAAGTTTACTAAAGATGAAAAAATAGAAAATGGAAAACAAAAAAACTAGTATGTTAATGTATTTTCATCTTTAATGAACTTTTTTTAGATTCAAAAAAAGAAAAAAAAAAAAAAGAAAAAAAAAGAGACTAAAATATGAGGAGTTTCACTGAAGACCAAAAAAAATATGAAAAATAAAAAGCTCAAAAACAATTTTTAAATACTAAACCAAACAAATTGATGATTTTATTTTAGGCATTTGATTTGAGATGTCATGTGCAAATCACATGTCAAATTTTCATTTATCTAAGAAATAAATTGTTTACATTGATACAAATTTGTAAATCAATGTGGCAAATGTAGCATTTTTCAGTTGAGGGGTAAAGTGATATTAGGTGATACTAGTTCAAGAGGATAAAGTGTAATTTATCCCATAGATAAAAGGGTATCTTCATCAAAAAGGTTTAGATTGAAAAAAATTAGTAGCAATTGGTTTGTTTTTGGTATTCACAACTAAATATTTTACCATGATAAGTATGTCAATTACTTTATCTTCTCTCTCTCTCTCTCTCTCTCTCTATTTTATGGTTGGGCTGTTTTATTAAAGTTTATTTTGAATTTATGAACGTTTTTGCATGTGTTCCACAAACAGAAGTTCTACCATGTGATCATTTGAAGACATATGGGGATCATGGTCAATTATGTACGTTGAATGTGTCAGAAGATACTATTGGGGATATTTGTGTTGACACTAAAGGACATATAGCATGTGGAGCTTCAAGAGGTGGCATTGCACTGAAGGTGATTATCTGCTTTGTTTTTGTGGCATTTTCTTGTTATATATGCAAAGAGTTTCTATATTATTTGTCTCAATTTCTTAAATTGTATCATTATTTTTCTATTGTTCTTATTTAATAAACCCAAGGGTCTTTCTTGCACATGGGGATGCAAACAAACATAGAGATTTTTTCCCAAAATTGGCTTCGAGATTTTAGGAGTGAATAATGTTACCTAATGCAAAAGAAACTAGTCCACGCCGGCGAATCCTTTTCCTTAGCAGTTGCTCGTTTGAGTAGGAGTCGTCGGTGGACTCAATAGGTCGCCGAAGTCTATTGATTGTGGAAAGGGGAAAGGGGCTTCGGTGGGTTGTGGTTTTCATCGGATTTGAAGTATGTTGGATTGTGAGGAAGCTGAGGGTGGCGTCGCAAGCGCCAAGCAATTTGAAATTCTTGGGTCGTCGAAGTCTAGTAGCATGGGTTTTGGGAGGTAAGAGAAGGGTCCTCGGTGCAAGTCATGGTGATGATTGGACCATGCAGGGAGCAAATTTTCATACCCATGTCGACTTTTAGGGATGGTTAGGAGGGAGTTCGTTGGTTATGGTAGAATTCAAACTGGGGGATGGGTGGGTGAAATGGTCTAGTGGGATGTATGGAAAGGTGGTTCTGGTGAAGGTTGTACCACCGGTGGGTCAAGTTGACCAGTGTGTCTCTGATGGGGAATTTGTGACACCTAAGTTTTGAGATGGGGTGGTTTCGGGCTGCTGGACAGATACTTGGTGGGTAGGGTGGGAGGGAGAGGTGATAAGGGGGTGGGCTTTGGGGCCATGTGTGATTGGGTAAGACGTTGGTGGAAGATCTCAGGGCAGGTGGAGGTGCGACCGATAGGGGGCTAGGTGTTCTTGTTTGTTTTTCCGACGTGGTATGAAGTGGAATCGTTGTTATGGCAAAGGTGGACTGTCGATGGGAGTGATCTGAGGTTGGAATGGTGGTCGCCTTTGGCTCTTTATGCCTCCAATTAGACGCCAACTTCAGAGAAAAGTGTTTGGATTCATTTGAAGCTAAAAAGCACAGACACTTCTAAGAAGGTAACGTATCCGTGTCGTGTCTGTGTCGGACACCGACACTTTTTAGACACTCTTAAGGCACGTGTCCAACACTCTTCAAAACATGTCCTATTTTTAAATTTTTTTAAAGGCCCAGACACTCTTTGGACACTTGGAAGACATACGTGCTAATCGCTTAAACACACGTGTCTATCGTTTAGACACGTGAAACTAATTATAAGTTTGAATAAAACAACTTAAGATATAATAATAAAACAAAATCTATATAAATTTATAGGAATTAGTGTTATATTGAATTTTTTTTTATTATCTTTGAGTGATATTTATATATATAGCATATAATAAATATATAAAATTATATATTTCATGCGTGTGCCCCACATTCGTGTCCTGCATTTTTTGAAAATTCACATGTCGGCATGTCTATGTTGTATTCGTGTCGTGTCAGGTGTCCATGTCCGTGTCCATGCTTCTTAGGTTTGGTGGGCTTACCTTTACATCTTTGTCGCGAAGAGGTGTGTCGTGATGTTAGCAATTGGTGTGGAGGCTGACTAGTCCTTAGTTGATTTGGGCTGTGTTCGATTGAGAATTCGGAACTCTGAATCTACACAACCACAAATTTTTGTCCAGTGGGGTTCGTGGGAGTTCTCTTCTAGTGTGGATGGAGGTAGGTCTATCAATGGTTCATGTTTTGTCGCCGGAAGGGTTATGTGATGGTGCGGGGTTGGAATTGGTAGGTCATGATTTGGGAAGATTTGATCAGAGTAAGTCGCATAATTTGGGGGTGGAGGATTATCTGCAAAGATTTGGGAGGACTTTTAAGAGTGAGGGCTAATGGGGTAGGTCAATCCTTGTGAGACCCAATTGGAGGACTAAGGGAGATGGTTCACTGGGTCAATTTAAGGCCCAAAAAGTTATGGGCCAAGATGTGGGCAAACAGACTGGGGCTAATAAAGAGGTGGGGGAGAGTTGGGCTATGGGATCAACTTGTTAGGCCAGAGGAGTTACTTTGGTAGGCTAAGGTCTAACGGGTTGGGTCAATCCAACCTAGATGCGTCAAAGCAAAGCAATCCAGATGTGAATCTTGTTTCAACGTCGAAGTGCGACGGAAGTGGGCTATGACAGTCAACTGATCGAGTGGTAGGGTCATTGTCGAAGTTGCATGAGCATTCGGGGCTTGCAAGGAGGACGTTGTCAAACTTTCAACAGGCTGATTGTGTTGTGGATGTGGATTTATCATCGTGTAGTGGGTTGCCGATGATAGAGGAGCTTTTTTGGGATACGTCGGCTTGCTGTGATGGGCGCACGGAAGTGGAGGGGGATGACGACGTTCGTTGGGCAAATAAGGCAGACGAGATGGCCATGGTGGTTCAGCCAGAGGCAGTGTCTGTTGAGACGAATATGGTGGATAAGGTGGACGCTGATGAAGAGCCTGCAATAGATGTGGACTTTCAAGGAACTGATCCTCTGCAACCAGAGGAGGTATTAGTGTAACGCCCTCAAATAAGACATACATTTACATTTAAACTAACCGCATTCCTTTCATTCATTAGAATTCCAAAACATAAGTATTACATGTTAACCTCATAACAAAATGCCCTACGGGCTTACAGCTTTCCAAGTTAACACTTGGTTACAACAAAGAGTTCTAACTCATTTACACATTAAGCCCTTGGCTTGAATTTTACATGTAATACATCAAAAATAAAACGACAAAAGTATGTCCGCCTCCTAGCCTCCCAGCTATGTCCTTGGAGGTGGCATGCTTCCTGTACCTGAAAATGATATTCCCATATAGGGTGAGCCACAGCCCAGTAGAAATACACTAAACCAACCATGGACAATGACTAAAACATTAGCAATTGATAGTTGGTCAACACCGATACAATCACATAAATTATATATTTATGTCAACGACTTACAAGTCCCAATTACTTTTCATTTTCCCTTTTCCAACAGATAAGCATGCCAGCTCTATCATCATTTCCACAGATATGTATAAAAACTATATCTCACATTCAGATAAGCATAAAAGCTATATCCACATTCTCAACAGATATGTCTATCAACAATATCCACAGATAAGCATACGAGCTGTATCCACATTCTACAACAGATATGTATATCAACAATATCCACAGATAAGCATACAAGCTGTATCCACACTCTACAACAGATATGTAAATCAACAATATCCACAGATAAGCATACAAGCTGTATCCACACTCTACAACAGATATGTAAATCAACAATATCCACAGATAAGCATACAAGCTGTATCCACACTCTACAACAGATATGTAAATCAACAATATCCACAGATAAGCATACAAGCTGTATCCACACTCTACAACAGATATGTAAATCAACAATATCCACAGATAAGCATTTAGGAGTGCATCAATGCCATTTCGTTTTGAGAATGTGACTTTTTTTTTAAGGTTTTAGGGAAGGAGTGCGGGGGTGGTGGGGCAGTTATAGTGTGCTTGGGGATCCCAATTGTCGCCTAGGTTAGAAATTAAAGCTTCTCAAGTCTGATTTGAGGCAGTGAATACGGAGGTGTTTGGAAAGTTGGAGACTTAAAAGGCAAATATTTTACCAGTTATGCAGGGGTGGGAGGAGAGGGAGGAAGCGGGGATATTGTTTGAAGAGAATGTGGTTCGTCGGGAGGTGGCTTGTAAGGAATTTATGCAGGTAGCTCGTATGGAGGAGATTAGCTATCGATAGAAATCGAGATGCTTGTGGTTGAAGGATAGGGAACGAAATACGAGATTTTTTCATCGTATGGCTAATGCGCATTGGTGGGTGAATCAAATAGGGAGATTGCGGGTGAATGAGGTAGAGTTATCATCTTCGAAGGAGATTAGGGGGGCCATAGTGGATTTCTATGAGCATTTATTTCGGGCTGATAAGGGAGCTTGGAGGCGGAGGTTGGATGGGGTCTATTTTGATGCGATCTCATAGGTTGATGGCTCTTTGCTGGAGAGATCGTTTACGGAAGAAAAGGTGTTTTAGGCGCTGCGGAGTATGGTTAGGTATAAGTCGCCTGGGCCAGACGGTTCTCTATTGCCTTTTTCCAGCACTGTTAGGGAGTGGTGAAGGAAGATGTGATGGCCATGTTTGACCAATTCCATCAGATGGGACAGTTTGAGAGGAGCTTGAATGCCACTTTTATTGCGCATTAATTCCAAAGAAGTGTGGGGCGGAGGATATCGGTGACTTTCGGCGCATCAGTCTGTTAGGTAGTGTATATAAATTGTTGGCCAAGTTGTTGGCGTATCGGCTTCGAGGGGTGCTGGAGGGGGTGATCTCTGATTCTCAAAATGCTTGATGCAGTTTTGGTAGCCAATGAGAGTGTGGATTCGAGATTGAGGCAAAGAAATGAGGGGATTATTTGCAAACTAGATATTGAGCAGGCATATGATAATGTTAATTGGGAGTTCCTATTGTATGTGATGGAGATGATGGATTTTGGGGTTACTTGGAGGCTGTGGATACATTTTTGTATATCCATGGTGCGGATGTCAATATTGGTTAATGGTTCCCCAGCAAGATTTTTTCCTACGCACAGACCATAGTTGTCAAATCGGGATTCGTATCGTGAATCGAAATGGTCTTGTACCGAATCGCGAATCGAATCGAATCGTGAATCGTAAAGATTCGGTCACTTTTTCTAAATTACTTAAGAACATATATCTACACATTTAGATGTTAAATATATCTTATGAATATAAAATATTTAGACTTAAATCAATAAAAATGTTATTTTGAATAATGAATAATATCACTTAGTTTAATAGGTAAGAAGTTAATAAAGGTTCCTATGTAAGATCACCATATTACCTTTTTTCTTTTTTAGATATTTTTTATCAACCATTCTTAATAAAGATGTAATATCACCATCTTGCCTTTTTTCTTTTTTAGATATTTCTTATCAGCCATTCTTAATAAAGATAGTAACCAAATAGACAAACTATCAATTTCCAGTTCCATCGGATGGGACAGTTTGAGAGGAGCTTGAATGCCACTTTTATTGCGCATTAATTCCAAAGAAGTGTGGGGCGGAGGATATCGGTGACTTTCGGCGCATCAGTCTGTTGGGTAGTGTATATAAATTGTTGGCCAAGTTGTTGGCGTATCGGCTTCGAGGGGTGCTGGAGGGGGTGATCTCTGATTCTCAAAATGCTTTTGTGGGTGGTAGGCAAATTTTGGATGCAGTTTTGGTAGCCAATGAGAGTGTGGATTCGAGATTGAGGCAAAGAAATGAGGGGATTATTTGCAAACTAGATATTGAGCAGGCATATGATAATGTTAATTGGGAGTTCCTATTGTATGTGATGGAGATGATGGGTTTTGGGGTTACTTGGAGGTTGTGGATACATTTTTGTATATCCATGGTGCGGATGTCGATATTGGTTAATGGTTCCCCAGCAAGATTTTTTCCTACGCACAGAGGTTTGCGGCAGGGCGATTCTTTGTCCCTGATGTTATTCCTACTGGTAATGGAGGCTCTGGGACATTTGTTGTCGAGGGCGGTTCATGGAGGCTTGTTGCAGGGCTTCGAAGTGGGTTCTAGATCTACCTCATTGGTTGTATCCCATCTTTTTTATGTAGATGATGCACTTATATTTTGTAATGCTGGTGCTGATCAAATTGGCCATCTTCGGTGTGTGCTATGGTGTTTTGAGGCAGTGTCAGGTCTTTGGGTTAATCTTTTAAAGTCTAAATTGATTCCAATCGGAGAAGTGACACGGCTGCAAGTCTTCGCAGCAATTTTGGGGTGCAAGGTGGCATCTTTGTTGATTTTATATCTTGGTCTACCTTTGGAGCTTCTTTCAAGGCCTAAGGGGTTTGGGATGGGATGGTGGATTGTGTGCAGCGGCAACTGGCAGGATGGAAACGACAATATTTATCTGAAGGAGGGAGGGTTACTTCGATCAAGAGTGTTTTGTCAAGTATCCCTATTTATTTTATGTTGTTTCATATGATTTTGGTGGCAGTTGCGAAGCAGATTGAGAAGTTGCACCGGGACTTTTTATGGGGGGATGAGGGAGAGGGTTCTCACTCTCATTTGGTGGTTGGGATTGAGTTTGTCGGCCAAAGGAGAAAGGGGGTTTGGGGGTTCGGTAGCTGGTTATGTTTAATCTTGTTTTGTTGGGTAAGTTGTTGTGGCGCTTTGTGGGGGAGAGGGAACATTTATGGCATAAGATGGTTGTGGCAAAGTTTGGCTTGGGGAAAGAGGGGTGGTGTTCAGGTAGGGTGGGGTAGTCTCATAGTCGTGATGTTTGGAAGGGAATTTGGTTGGGTTAGGAGGAGTTTTGGAGTAGTGTTAGGTTGAAGGTATGGGTGGGGGATAGAGTTCGTTTCTAGCATCATAGGTGGTGTGGTGATAACCTTTTTGGAGCAGTTGTTTCCTTTGATTTTTGGGATTGCATAAGATTGCGAGCTTTTGGTGGGCGCAGTGTGGACTTGGTAGGGACAGGTGGTGGTTTGGAATGTGCGGTTGCGTCGAGATGTTCAGGATTGGGAGGGGGTGCAAACTGGGGGTGTAGGTGAGGATTCTATGGTTTGGGTTTGCCCGAGCTTCAAGTGGCTCTTTTCCCATGTCATTGTATTATGGTGCACTTGTTCACGATGACGCGGGTTTATTCCCTTGGAAGTGTATTTGGTTGTCAGGCACGCCATCCAAGGTAGCTTTCTTTGTGTGGACAGCAACTTGAGGATGTATCTTGACGATTGATAATTTAATTCGGCGTGGGCATATCTTGGCAAATTGGTGTTGTTTGTGTTGTGGTGATTCTGAGTCGGTGGAGCACTTGCTTGTTCATTTTCTAGTTACTTCTTGGCTTTGGATGATCATTGTTGTGACTTTTGGTTTGGTTTAGGTGCAGCTAGGTTCTGTGTTGGCAGTTCTGCAAAGTTGGGCTGGGGGCAGGGTTGGGAGGAGGCGTTGGAAGGCATGGATGACTGCGTCTCATTGTTTAATGTGACTTATTTGGTTGGAGTGTAGCATGCATGTTTTCCAAGGGGTGTCTCATTCGATTCCTTGGTTGGAAAGAAGGTTGCTCACAGTGTTATATAATTGGGTTACCGGTTTGGTAGATCCGGATGTTTTGACTTTTGTAAATTTTGTAGAGGATTTGATATCTTAGCTTTTCTCCTTAGGGGTCTGAATTTTTGTATTCCTTGCATCATATTGATACTTTTCTAATAAAGTTTGTTTATTTATCAAAAAAAAAAAAAAAGGTTAAGTGGGCTGTACAGTCAGTGAGACACATTCTCACATTCCTGTTCACCGGCACCCATCCACCACTATCTCCTTCGTAAAACAAAGACAATAAGTTGAAATAAAAAAAATGTTTATATTATGATGAAGTCTAGTGAACACAAAAAATGGAAAATAAACAAGTTGAGCGTTCCCCAGATGAGACTTCTCAATACTTTCAATTGAAAATGGAGGAGGTGGGCGAAAAAAAAAAAAAAGTTTTGAGCGATTCTTTGGGTAAGCCATGTATAGTGGTTACTAATTACTAGGGGGGTGATAACTCTAGGCCCGTTGCTTTTATCCTCTACTGTTGAATATTATTTTGAGACATTCTTGATGAAGTTAACCAAGTTTTTAATGGCCTATTTGGCATCATTTTTAGTTTTCAATGCTTTTCTGGCTTGTCTTTTATTTAGATTTGATGCCTCTGTCGATCACAATTCACACCTAAACGTTGAAATTTGCATGACATCATTTCTAAAATGGATCATTATTCGGCTAAACTTGAAATTTATTCTTCAAATATTTTTAACAGATAAGTGGACGTGTGGGATTAGTAGCAATTTGTGGCTCCCGTTGTTGGGCATCCTCAAAAGGTCCGTTTGGGGCTCCATTTATAGTTGGTTGTTGCGTTAGTGGTGCTGGAGAGTATTTAATGAAAGGACTTACTGCTCGAGAGTGCTGTGTCTCATCATCACTGTATGTATCCTTGTTCAAAAATGTTATTTTATTTTATTTTGGGAAGTATAACTAACAGAATAAAAAATTAAAAAAAAAAAACAAAAAGAAAATTGTGTTTAGAAACGTGCAATTTTAATTTATCTTTTACTACAAATTAAAAAAAAAACAAAAAGAAAATTGTATCTTAGAAACGTGCAATTTTAATTTATCTTTTACTACAAGGAACATTATATTTTCTTGGTATGAGGCTAGTTTAATACCGGGATATTTTTGTAAAGGTCTTCATGTTTTTTTGATTTTTGTTTTGTTTAGTGCTTTCTTCTATATGTTCAGTTTTCATTATTTATTTTTTTGTTAAACCAACAAAAATCATTTCCTTTTTTGATTCATAGGAATAAGTTAAAACATAGAGTTTACAAACAGAGCAGTCCTGGGATAGTTCAATCTCTTCCAGAATTAGCATTCACCATATCAGTGATAAGAACATATCAGTGATAAGAACAAAGAGAAGAGAGCTAAGTGGATTCTCTAGATACACTAGATGTTCTTGTTGATTAACTCCAATGTTGGCCAATACATCAGCACTGTGGTTGCCTTCCCTGGGGATATGCTGGATAGAACACTCGCACCAGCTGATAAGGAACTTAGCATCGTCAACAATGGCTCGATAAGGTGAAGTATTGGCAGCACCTTCTCTGAGCATTTCCATGGCATTCTGAGAGTCAATTTCAATGGTGATGTTGGACAACCCTTTTTGCATAATGATGGTCAATCCTCTGTAGATGCCCCAAATTTCTACTTCCAGGCTAGTGCAATGGCCTAGGTAACCATGGTAGCCCCATACCCAGGAGCCGACTTTATCGTTTAGTAGTCCACCATAGCCTGATTGCCCTGGATCTCCTTTGGAGCAGCCATCAACGTTGAGTTTGAGTTTTCCTGCAATGGGACAAGGCCATTTAGTTAGTGCTGGATTTGTATAATTTGGATTCAAGAAGTTCTGCAATGCTTGCTGAGTTTCCTCTGCTTGCTCTAGAATGAGCTTGACACTGACAGACGGGGGTTGGGTGTGGTTCTCAAAAACAACTCTGTTTCTCTCCTTCTACATGCTCCAAAGTGCTGCTATGAAGATTAGGGGCCATTGCACTCCATTGAATTGCACTTTACTTTTAAGGTTAGCTTTGATCCAATCCTGAAGGGGAGTAGTTATACAGTTTTGCCACCAGTTGGAGTCCCTCAGAAGTAACCATATTGTTTTTGCTTTAGGGCAACCTCTGAGTAGATGGAGGATGTCTTCCCTACTGATCTGGCATCTGGGACAAATTGTTAGTCAATGAAAGATTTCTGATAAGCCTCTTGTGGTTGGTTAGGAGTTTATCTTGCACAGCCAGCCACAAGAAGCTTTTGATTTTTGGGGGAGCTTTTAACTTCCACAGCCACTGCCAATCTTCACCATTGTCATCTTGCCCTGATATGGCTTGATAGGCTGCTGCAGTGGAGTAGTTTCCAGTAGTAGAGCCCTTCCATAATGGACCATCTATGAAAGTCACATACCTGGGCCTGTATATATTGAGAATTTCTTCGGATCTCCTTTGGAGCAGCCATCAACGTTGAGTTTGAGTTTTCCTGCAATGGGACAAGGCCATTTAGTTAGTGCTGGATTTGTATAATTTGGATTCAAGAAGTTCTGGAATGCTTGCTGAGTTTCCTCTGCTTGCTCTAGAATGAGCTTGACACTGACAGACGGGGGTTGGGTGTGGTTCTCAAAAACAACTCTGTTTCTCTCCTTCTACATGCTCCAAAGTGCTGCTATGAAGATTAGGGGCCATTGCACTCCATTGAATTGCACTTTACTTTTAAGGTTAGCTTTGATCCAATCCTGAAGGGGAGTAGTTATACAGTTTTTCCACCAGTTGGAGTCCCTCAGAAGTAACCATATTGTTTTTGCTTTAGGGCAACCTCTGAGTAGATGGAGGATGTCTTCCCCTACTGATCCGGCATCTGGGACAAATTGTTAGTCAATGAAAGATTTCTGATAAGCCTCTTGTGGTTGGTTAGGAGTTTATCTTGCACAGCCAGCCACAAGAAGCTTTTGATTTTTGGGGGAGCTTTTAACTTCCACAGCCACTGCCAATCTTCACCATTGTCATCTTGCCCTGATATGGCTTGATAGGCTGCTGCAGTGGAGTAGTTTCCAGTAGTAGAGCCCTTCCATAATGGACCATCTATGAAAGTCACATACCTGGGCCTGTATATATTGAGAATTTCTTCCTTGTCTTGTTGAGAGATGACATCTTCAATTGTAGACAGATCTCATTTTCCTTCATCATCAAGAATAGAGCTGACTTTCGCTGTATTATCAATATGAGGGCCTTGGTATTTGTTGCAAAGAGGCTGTGATCGACACCACCAGTCAGTCCATAAGGAGATGTCTTCCCCTGTACCCACATTCCGCTTGATATTTTTATCTAGTACATCTCTGTTCTTGATAATGCTTTTCCAAGTGTGGGAGGCTCTTCTTTTGGTTGGCCAACTAGATATAGAATGTTTTCTGAGGTATTTGGATTTAAGAACTTTGCACCAAAGATCCTCAGCATTACTAATTAACTTCCAACCCAATTTAGAAATGAAAGTTGAATTTTGCTCTCTAGCTTTTCTTATACCAAGCCCCCCATGTTTCTTGTTTTTACACACTTGGTTCCAGTTAACAAGATGAATTTTCCTGGCACCTTCAAAACAGCCCCACAGGAAGTTTCTATTCAGTTTATCTATGTGTTCACACACTTGCCTGGGGGATTTCCATGGTTTGCATGAAGTGGTTAGGGATGGCAGATCTAACAGATTTAACCAGGGTAGTTCTACCAGCTAAGGACAGGTTCTTGGCTTTCCAGTTTGCATGAAGTGGTTAAGGATGGCAGATCTAACAGATTTAACCAAGGTAGTTCTACCAGCTAAGGACAGGTTCTTGGCTTTCCATCCAGAAAGTTTTTTGGACATTTTCTCAATGATATCCTTGATGAAATTCTTGTTCATTCTGTAATGGAGAATGGGTGTGCCCAAGTATTTACCTAGGTCATCAGTAAAAGGTATGCCATATTTATGGCTGAGAAGAAGGGCTTCCCTTCTAGAGAGGTTTGGGGAAATGTCACGCCCCCAAACCGCCCCTAGTAGTTTGGTGCCGTGATGGCCAGTAATCCGAGATTACCGAAGGCCGACTTACAAGAACCACACCCAATCAGAGTATAAAATACGGGGCTTACAAGTGCGGAAGCAATATGTATACATATACAGAATTTAAATAGTCCATGAGAGCCGTGCTTAAGTCCAATGAAATGACATACATTCTTACAAAGTCTTACAACTTAGATACAATAAGGAAATGAGATACAAAAATACATCTTGACCAAAAGGCTTCTCAAGCCGACATATACAAGTACACATGAAATATAAGCTAAGAAGCATAATCTTCAAGATGGTGTAAAATGCTAATCCAAAACACGTCGGCAATGCACCCAAAAACACATCGGCTACACGTCTAGGCCTCAATGCCTTCTTGCTCATCACCTACATATATATAGAGAGGGTGAGCTTGGATACCCAGTGAATGATATTAGAAATAAAGGTTTTTGCATGATTGATATCCAAGATTTCTTTCAGAAACATACATAACATATATTACAAGCGAGGGGAAAAATCAAGTTCGTTGCCGGTCTTTCAAATTCCTTGGATGTTAATAACATCTACATAATACGAGTGCGATGACATTTCAAGACAAGAGTGCAGTTGCATTATAGTCCCCTGCAACTAAGGACTTTCAAGAAATGTCATCAAAACAAGATAGTGCTTAATGTACAAGTAGGGATAGTCATTCATGCCGAGATCAAATACTTTTTATCAAAACCGAGCAAAACGAGATTTATCAAAACAAGTATAACATAGCTTTACTAAAAATACCACTCACATAGTTCTTCACACGTCGGGGTCGAGACAAGCCCAAGTCCTACAAACACATGGCAAAGCCTATTGAATGCACCTTCAAACAAGTCTCTTAAGTACACAAATGTTTTCGGAAAACATGCTGGGCACCGACCAGGTCTAGGCCGAGGTTCCACACCTCCTCGCCGAGGTGTGTTCCCGAGGGCCACATGCAAGGAAAAGAGGTCGGGAAACTCTGGGTTCCCCTCTGCTGATGAACATGAAGAACATGAGTGTGAAAACATGAAAAACTTGAATGTTCAATCATAATCTGCCATCACAAATCTGGGATTTTCGTGCTATGAGTTTGAAAACATGGACCTGGGTACCCGTAAATGGCAAACTTGGAACTATGGGCCTCTTGCAAAATCTTCCTTTTTAACTCTGGTACGTCGGCTACACACAATCTTCCTTCGAACCTAAGCACCTGATTTTCCACTGTGTAACCTGGCCTCGGCTTGGAGACGAATTCATCAATTACCCTTTTTAGGAACTTATCTTCCATCTGCCTGGTCTTCACTTCCTCAACGATGGTCGGTTCCGCTGAGACCGTTGCCAGACACGCCAAACTTCCGACTAGTTTCCTGCTTAATGCGTACGTGGCGGGCGGATAAGGCTGCTTCCCTGAAAAGGTGGCTGACAGACCAGACAAAGCATGGTGGAAGGGTGTTCAACAAGTAAAGCGGTATGGGCTCTCTGACGGGGCAATGACATCGGCTAACAACAAGGCGAATCTAACAAGCTACACGGAATGGCACTCCGGCAAGGGGTGACATCGGCTAACAAAGGACTTCGGCAACTAAGGTGACAATGACCTCGGCTAGGAAGGACGACACTTGACTAAGCTGTGCCACATCTTGGCCTAGATGCGCCACACCTCGGTCTAGGTCATACCACTCCAGGACGAGGTCACTTGGGTGCGAAGGTAACATCTCGGCTAATGCATGAAAGCAAGGATGGTGGTCAACAAAAGGGGTTTTCAAGATACTTCTAGGCTGAGGATGACCTCGGCTCGGAATGGTCTAGGCGCAACGTAACCTAGGCTTGGCGTAACGTCGGCTAATCATAACTTCGACAAGCACATAACACTTAGACAAATCACAAAGGTATCAAATCAAGGCATGGATCTCACTCACTTAAGCAGGACAAGTCACGAACATACACATGCAAGCTTAACAAACCATAATCATACAGATGCTCATGAACATGATTAAGATGAAAAATGTGGGTTCTTACAGGAAACAAACATTTTGGATTTATGAAGGTTGATTTTTTGACCAGACATATCACAAAACTCAGAGAGAACTTCCATAATACAGTCACAATTGCTATTATTAGCTTTGGCAAACAAAAAGAGATCATCAGCAAAAAACAAATGAGAAATAGGAGGGCCATCCTTAGCAACCTTAATGCCCTGCCACCTGCCACTATCAGTGTGAATTTTAATCATATTGGAGAGATTTTCCATGCAAAGGACAAAAATATATGGAGATAGAGGGTCTCCTTGCCTGAGACCTCTGCCCATGGTTATTTTGGGAAGGGTCTTGCCATTCCAGAGAATGGAAGAGCAAACAGTAGAAACATAGTTCATAATAAGGGTAATCCAATCGGAATTGAGACCAAATTCTTTAAGGGGATGTTGAATGAAGTCCTAGGAGATCCTATCATAAGCTTTTTCCAGATCAATTTTGATAACCATACCCCCAGACTTGCCTTTCTTGTACCCAAGGGTGTGGATAATCTCTTGGGTGATGATAATATTGTCAATGGTAGTTCTACCAGGTATGAAACTGCTTTGGTTAGGACAGATAAGGTCAGGGAGGAGAGGTCTAATTCTGTTGACAATGATCTTGGTAATAGCCTTATAAGTGACATTGCAAAGGCTAATAGGCCTAAATTGTTTAATGGTCTCAGGGTTGTCAAGTTTAGGTATGAGAACTATCTGGGTTTCATTGATTTCCTGAGGGACCAGTTTATTATGAAAGCAGGTCTTAATGAAATTGCAAAAGGAGGGGCCAACAATGTTCCAATGTTGATGGTAGAAAATAGCTTGAATGCCATCTTTGCCAGGTGCTTTGAAAGCTTTGATGTTTTTGATGGCCTTCCAAATCTCAGAGTTAGAAATAGGGGCTAGGAGCCTATTATTATTTTCAACAGTGAATCTGGTTTGAGCAATATTATTTCAATCCTCTAAAATGGTAGTCTCTTCATATTTGAAAAGGTTGGTAAAATGATCAATGATGTGGGCTTGAAGGTCATTAGTTCCAGCAATCCAGTTACCCTCATCATCTTTAAGGACATTAATTTTAAGTTTCCTTCTTTTATTAAGGGTAGATATATGAAAGAATCTGGTGTTTTTATCCCCCATAGTCAACCATTTGGATCTAGATTTTTGAAACCAGAGAATTTCTTCTTGAAAAAGGGTGTTGTTGAATTGTTTAACCAGGTCCTTACCCTCAGGTCCAGAACCAGGTGCAAGCGCTCGCTCGAGCGAAGCCTCTCTGGCTCGACCCACCAGAAACAAACTCAACTCTCGCTCGAGCGACAAACTCCTGGCTCGAGCGAAGGTCCAGAAATCTGGGCAGCAACACTAAGTTTCCTAACACAACCAACCTGTAACAAACCTACCCAACACATCCTATAACTCAAATACAAAGTAAAAAGGATGTAAACAAGATAATAAACAACTACCAACATCCACGGACACATGTCCGGATCACTGTTCAACAAGGGTAAACCCGGGATCGCTATAGTCTGAGTATGTGCGAGGTAGAGTCCTTACAGTGCCTTCAAAGAAGAGAGCTTGCCATTGGTCATTGCGCATTGCTTTGTCCAGTCGTTCCATTGTGTTGGCCAATCCTTGTTTGTTATTGGCCCAAGTAAGTTGAGGACCTACACTGCCCATGTCAATGAGGTTGCAATTGTTGATTCTGTCTCTGAATCTTTGTGATCTGGTAAAGTTATGGTTAGGGGAGAAGCTCTTTCTTTCACTTAGGTCAGTGAAGTCGTTAAAGTCTCCAGCAACCAACCAAGGTTGGGTCATAGTGTTAGTTGTCCTCTCTAGTTCCTTCCAGAGATTTGTCCCTGGTTGCTGGATTGGGACTAGCATAGACTGCAGAAAAAATCTAATCTTCAATCCTCCCTGTGGATGGTAGCTTGAATATACTGGCTAGGTACATAAGAGGTTAGAACATTAGCGTGGTCCGTGTCCCAGAGCATCCAGATTCCTCCCATTCTACCTATTGGATCAACCATTGTAGAGGTGGAGAAGCCTAGATTGTTGAAGTTCCCTAGTGAGCTAAATGTAACTTTTGTTTCCATGAGGACTAGAATTTTAGGTTTATGAGTTCTGATGAGTTATCTTAAGTTACGCTTGAAGGTGTTGTTTCCTGCCCTTGGCAGTTCCAAATCAATATTTTCATAGAATCCATGGATGGGAAATGTGGTAATGGTTCATAAGCTAGTTTTGTTAGGATGCTTTGAATCCTACGATGATCTTGGTCTACTGACCTCATGGATGCCATCTGAAATGAGTGCACTAGAGGCCCTGGAATGGTGCTCCAACTTGGTTCGATTCTCACCATTATCTGTTCGATCCACCATACTGTGTCTACGCAATGAATTACTTCTATACCTGGTTCTAGTAAAAGGCAAAACGTATTTCCCTCCATCTTGTGCACCAAACTCTGTGGTAGTGGTATTTTCCCGATCTCCATGGTAGGTTTCGTTGGTTGTTTGCTGTGGCGCGAGTCTCCATGTTTCAAGGATGCTTGAAGGTTTGTGGTAACGATGTGTGGAGGGTTTAGGGGAGTACTTGTGTTGATGGGGTGTGGTAGGGGTGTGTTAATGCTATCATCAAGGAGCTCCTTCATCGGGATTTTTGAGGATTGCAAATCTACTTGCAAAGGAGTAGGCTTGGTAGGTTGGGTAGGTACACTATCAGGAATAAGGGGGTCTTTATCCTAGTTGTTTGTATCTTTGGGATGCGAGATGACAGATGAGTGGGCTTGTAGTTCAGGTGCTACAATCTGCGAATATGTTACTAGGTCTTTAGATGGGCTTGGATTGTTTTGACTGTGAGTGGTGGGTTTATAGGTTGGGTTGGACTTATAGGCCTCTTTCTCTTGGCCTGATCTTGTAGTTTTTTTTACCTCTAGTATGGGCCTCCTCCTGTTGGCTAGTGTTACCTAACTCTGCATATTTGTTGGAGTTTGGGCTGGCCTCATGATGTTGAACTTTCTCATAGGCCGTTGGGCGCCGGTTCTTTTTTTGTACAAGCATCCAAGGCCCAAAAGCTTTGTCCCCTTCCTCTGGCCCAATTTGGTGCGGGTTACCGTTGTCCACGGAAAGAAATGTTTGGGAGGTCTCAGCAACTGTTTGTGGGTCTCTTGTCGGCGGTGAGCTAGAGGTCTGGGTTACCTGTTTTGTTCGGTGTGCTACCTTGAATCTACAGAGCTCCTTGCGGTGATCTACCCTGCCACAATGAAAACAAAATGAATGAATGGATTCATACTCAATATTGTAACTTTTCTTACCTAAAATGAATCTAGGACACGGTGGTTTTCTCAGGTCCACTTCAATGCAAGCTCTTGCAAATTGCCCTCTTGTGGCCATGGCAATGGTGAGATCAATCTTCAGAGATTTTCGTAATTGCCTTGCGATGGTGTATAAAATTTTTTCTTGAAAATATTCAATCGGAAGCTCTGGAAACCTAACCCAAACAGCTGTGGTGGTTTCAAAGGCTTCAGATGCCTTGAAGTCAGGCTCCCATTTGCATACTGTAAGATAATGGTCCATGATTACCCAAAGACCTCCTGAGTACACCATGACACAGTGCTTTTGAGATGAGAACTTAAATAAAAAATAGTTGTTGCCCAGATTAATTGCATTGAAATCATCTTGTAGCCTCCAGAGTGTTTTGACTCTAGAACAGAGCATGCTATATCTAATAGTCTTCCCAAATGATCTGATGAGCAGTGCATTGGCCCAAGGTTGTCGGATTTGTTGCAATAATTTTTTTGGGAGGGCGATTTGGGGTATACCATCTTCCCTCTGTGAATGATGTCCATCTTGGATGTCTGTGTCTCCATCCTCATCTTTCTCAGTATTGATGATGTCTTCAAGCTCATCGAAGTAGAAGTCTTCGTTTCTGGGTGTAGTGAGGGCTTCCTTGAACGATTTAACCTTTGGCCCCTCAACTGGTGTAGCCATCATCTTAGGGCTAGATGTGTGAGGTGGGGGTGAGAGATTTTGTGGAGGGGAAACCTCCTCAGTGGTTTCCATCTATTCCTTCCCCATTGAATCGTTGCTTTTGATCTTCTTGGTACTGCAAATTAGATGATCTTCTTTTTCTTGAGATTTTTCTTTGGGGTCGAAGACGGTCGTAGATGTTGTGTTCATTCTAGAGAGAAAAACTATGATGATCCTTAACACTGAGAAAATGGTCACAAGTCTCCTAAAATTATTTTCTTTGTTTCCATTTATGTATACCCCCAGCTTGTGAATCTAACATGGTTATTATTTTTGTTGCACAGGTTGCAGGCAGGTTCGAGCTCTGCTTGCATGAAAGTTTTATGCTCTATTATGCAAGATAGTAGCGAACACGGTCCTAATAAAAGTGCCGGAACTCTAGTTGTTCAGGCCGAGGCTCCTATAATAGCGAGAGCTCCCAACCCTCAACCTTAATGGTTTTTTTAAGGAAAAAAACGACTTATTATTTGTTTGTTTCCTATTTAGCTTCCCGAGACTTCACCTAAGTTGAAAGCTATAGAGATTGCATCAGCCTACACTTCCTTGTCTTTTGGAATGGGTTATTTTGGAAGCTCTATGGAGCAGAATAATATTTCAAAACCCTTATTGTTGCATATGAATTTTCTTCTTCAATTGATATATTTAGATCAGATTTTGAGATCCCAGCGAGTTCAGTCGATCCTTGCAGATGACATTTAATGGTGAATCATCTCATTCATTTAATGGTGAATCATCTCATTGAGAGTAAACCAATACGTTGTGTATTAATTAGGTGTGAAGTGTTTGTTAACATTTACTATATATAATGATTTCTTGTTTTATAATTGAACAAATATTTGATATAAGAGCATATCATAAACTGACTGGAAGAGATTTGCATTTCACATTTGAATTGTGCATTTCGTATCAGTCATAATTGTAATGGTGCCAACCCACCACCACCACCCGCCATCGGCCACTCACCACCCACCACCCGTCACCTACTCGCCACCCATCACCACCCGCCATCCGCCACCCACCTGCCACCACCACCCACCACCTGCCACTACCACCTCCTACTCATTACCACCCACCACCCGCCACCGTCACCCACCCATCCACCGCCACCATCCACCACCACCAGCTACCCACCACCCACCGTCACCACTTTCCACCACCATATTCCGCCGCCACTTGCCATTTCTCACTCTTTTTTATATTTTTAAAATTTTTTAAACATTTTGTCAATTACCAAACGCGTTTGTAGTTTATGTTTTTTTAAAAATAAACAAAAACCAGTTTATAAAATTTTTGTAAATATAAACTGAAAACGTAAACGTTACCAAACACACCCTAAATAAGTGCATTTATTTGGGTCAAATCACATCTCTATTTTTTTACATATTTTTTTGTAAAAAGTTAAAAAATATATTTATTTTTAGTCATCAAAAATAGGGACGAAATCAAAATTTTACTTCGTCTATCCTACATTGATAGTCCATTTTTTAAATTCAAACTTTTTAAAGAAATGTAATCATTACGCTTTGAATTCAAATTTTAAATAATTAATTCTAAAGATACCCTTCTATTTTTATTTTTAAATTTTAAAATTTTGACTTTTCAAAGTAGATATATATTTTGGGACAACAAAAAAATGTAATAATGGACCAATAAAATGGAACGAAAGGAGTATCAATCAAAATTTGAATAAAGAAATTTCACCATATATACAAGCACACATTGAATAAAGAAATTTCACCATAAGATATCTAAGTTATATATATACACACAAAGAAAAATTAAATATTGGGGTTAATTACAAAAAAAAAAAAAAAAACTCCAAGGTTTCACCTGTTATTCACTTTAAACCCCAGTATTTTTCAATTGAAATCCCAAAACGATTCTCCATTACCAACACAAAAGGAGATGGACTGAAGGAGTACATTGAAACATGTATAGAATTTTAAGGTTAAATTTATTGAAATTAAAATACTGAAACTTAAAATGAAAAATGCATAAAATCTTGGGGTTATTTTTGTAATTAACCCTTTTTTTCTACATGCTATTTGATGTTCACAAACATAACATCAATATGGATTATGAAAATAAGTTGGAAATGAATTATAATGGTGGGTCTCACACGGTAAGAAGAAAGTAGTGACAAAGTAATTACCAAAAAAAAAAAAATAGTGAAAAAAAGCATTAAGCAAGTCTCTAGCAAATTCTCAAGTTTGAAAAAAAATATTATATTTTCAGATAATTAACTTTAATAGAGGGAGAGTAGACATAATAGTAGTTAACATTTTTTTTAAAGTTAATGTAAACAAAAAAAATGCTTGATTATATTTTTATTTTCAATTATGTTGATAAAAAATATTCAATTAATACTAATATTATTCACTTTTTGTGTTGGTATAAATTAAAATTTAAAATTTTAAAATACTTATTTTCGATGAAAAGTTATGTGTATTTTTATCCCCTAAAGTTTAAATTTTGGATATGTTCCTGATTAAATATCCTGTTAAATAATTGGACCTTTTTAGCATTTTTGTTTGGTAAAAAAAGAAAAAGAAAATTAGAACTTGATATGAAAATTTTGTTTAATAAACTATTTTTGATAATTACTTTTGGAAACAATCCTTTTTTATAGTGAAATTAAAAGATTCTTTCAATAAAAAATGCGTAAACATTCACACTTTCTTATTTTGAAAATACAAAATCATTTGATAAAAATTTGTAAATTTTGACACTTCTTTCCACAAAGATTAATAGGAAACTCATCTACACAATTTCCATAGAGAAAGGAGGGGACAAACATTTGATTCAAAAAAATGAGTAATTGGCATGATATGCTTGTACGTGTGATATGAGAAAAGCCTCATGCATACCAAACAAACAGCATTACTCATTATAATAAGAAAATAAACATGCGCAAATTTTAATCACTAGTTTTTATAGTTTGGTTTTAGTGTCATTTCAATCTTTATAATTTTAATTAAGATTTTAAATTTTTTATTGTCTCAATTTAACCTAATTGATTGCAATCATTAACTTTTTTCTTCTTTTTTTTTTTAATTATGAAAAGTGCGCACATGAGTAGCGTGAGTTACACTTTCAGAAACAAAATTATAAATTTTCTTAACTAAGTGAGTCAATCTCAATCATCTGATTAACGATTTTACTTTAAAAACACTAATTGGCGTTATTAATTGAATTAAATTAGTACAAAATTTAAAATTAAATCAATTATAAATTTATAAATCAAAATGATATATGAGACAAAATAAAAAAGCTACCAATTTAATTTACCCAATAAACATTACCACTTTCCCTATCTTGATTTTTGGGAAGATCCAAGGCTACCCGTTGGCAAGCTATCAACTTGTAACCCAAGACAAGAAAATAAAACAAACAACAAAATCAAATCAAGGCCAAAAAAAAAAAAAAGGCTATGTGAAAAAGATATATATATATTTTTTTATAATGATTGTCAGGCAATCTTCACAAAAATAATAACAAATAAAAAATTCAGTCCTTGATCCGTTCGTTTTGAATTTTAAATTTTCAGTTATTTAGTGTTTTTAGAGTACTACTCCATATTATTCATGTTAAAATACTTGTTCAATTATCTCTTACAAAAGAGAGAAAAAAATTAATTAAATTGTAAATTAAACCATTGGTCTCTGTAATTTAAGCAAAGTGTCATTTTAGTTATTATAATTTTAATTTGAACATTTTGGTCCTTACATTTTAAATTTTGTTACAAGATGGTCCCTTCGTTAAATGTTGTTAACAATTGGAACAAAAAAAATTAAGTGTAAAATTAAAAAATCAAAATAAAATTCAAAACAAATCATAATGACTAATAATATAATAAATACATTACACTAATAGTCTTTATAATTGATTTTAAATTTTAGGCCAAGTTTGGCAATCTAAAAATAATCCATCTTTTTATTTTTTTCTAACACATCACCTCTCTATTTTTCTACACATCTTTTCGTAAAAAGACAAAAAATGCACTTATTTAGATCATTCCAAACAACCCCTTCTTTTATTTTACTTATAATATTTTTTTACTTTAAATTCAAATAAAATTGAAAATGTATCAACCAAAACTCCATATTGTTGCATATTGTTGGATAAAGATTGAAAAGTTTCTTAGGCTACTCACTACCAACTGAGAAAAATCATGATAGAGATATAAATTTATTTTAAAATATATTAAAAAATAATTGGATTCTACCTGCGAACTTGGGTTCTTTTATTTTTTTTAGTTTATTTGTTGTTTTCGCAGAGGGACAGGGGGCCAATGAAAGGAGACTCACTTTTGACTTCTTTTTTGATAATTACTTTTGGAAACAATCCTTTTTTATAGTGAAATTAAAAGATTCTTTCAATAAAAAATGCGTAAACATTCACACTTTCTTATTTTGAAAATACAAAATCATTTGATAAAAATTTGTAAATTTTGACACTTCTTTCCACAAAGATTAATAGGAAACTCATCTACAAAAATTCCATAGACAAAGGAGGGGACAAACATTTGATTCAAAAAAATGAGTAATTGGCATGATATGCTTGTGCGTGTGATATGAGAAAAGCCTCATGCATACCAAACAAACAGCATTACTCATTATAATAAGAAAATAAACATGCGCAAATTTTAATCACTAGTTTTTATAGTTTGGTTTTAGTGTCATTTCGATCTTTATAATTTTAATTAAGATTTTAAATTTTTTATTGTCTCAATTTAACCTAATTGATTGCAATCATTAACTTTTTTCTTTTTTTTTTTAATTATGAAAAGTGCGCACATGAGTAGCGTGAGTTACACTTTCAGAAACAAAATTATAAATTTTCTTAACTAAGTGAGTCAATCTCAATCATCTGATTAACGATTTTACTTTAAAAACACTAATTGGCGTTATTAATTGAATTAAATTAGTACAAAATTTAAAATTAAATCAATTATAAATTTATAAATCAAAATGATATATGAGACAAAATAAAAAAGCTACCAATTTAATTTACCCAATAAACATTTCCACTTTCCCTATCTTGATTTTTGGGAAGATCCAAGGTTACCCGTTGGCAAGCTATCAACTTGTAACCCAATACAAGAAAATAAAACAAACAACAAAATCAAATCAAGGCCAAAAAATAAAAAAAGGCTACGTGAAAAAGATTTTTTTTTTTTTTTAATGATTGTCAGGCAATCTTCACAAAAATAATAACAAATAAAAAATTCAGTCCTTGATCCGTTCGTTTTGAATTTTAAATTTTCAGTTATTTAGTGTTTTTAGAGTACTACTCCATATTATTCATGTTAGAATACTTGTTCAATTATCTCTTACAAAAGAGAGAAAAAAATTAATTAAATTGTAAATTAAACCATTGGTCTCTGTAATTTAAGCAAAGTGTCATTTTAGTTATTATAATTTTAATTTGAATCAAATATTGTTAACAATTGGAACATAAAAAACTAAGTGCAAAATTAGAAAGATCAAAATAAAATTCAAAACAAATTATAGGGACCAACGGTATAATGAATATATTAATTACCCGAGTGGTCCTTCTAATTGATTTTGAATTTCACTTTGATTTCTCTTTTATTTTACTCATAATATTTTTCTGTTTCATATTCAATAGTATGGTTTGAAAAAATCACATCCGACAAAATTGAAATGCATCAACCAAATCCCAAAACTTCTAAGCCACCCTCTAGTAACTGAGAAAAACCATGATAGAGATATGAATTCATTTAAAAGAATATTAACAAATGTAATTGGGTTCTTTCTACTAACAATAATATAATATTTGGGTTCTTTTATTTTGAGTATTTTATTTTTATTTTTAATTTACACGTTGTTTTCACAGAGGGCAGGGGGCCAATGAAAGGAGACTCATCACTTTTGACTTCTTTGCAGCCCAATAATTTCTTCTTCTCATCACAAAAATATAGCCAATTTTGAAACTGCTAAAGCCTTTTCCACTGAACCTCTTTGCTTTGCTTTGCTTTGCTTCTGATCCGTTGGTTTTTTCTTTTCTTTCTGTAATCGGAAACAATGCCTATAGAAGGGATCTTTGTCTCTGGCTTCGTCAATTTGTTGTTTGGGAAGATGACCTCTTTTGCCTCCTCGAAATTACCAACCTTTGAAGGAATTGATACCCAGCTGACCAATTGGACCAATATGCTGTCTCAAATTGAAGCTTTTCTGATTGACGCGGAGGAGAAGCAACTGACAGATCGAGCCGTGAACCTGTGGCTCGACGATCTCCAGGATCTGGCATATGATTTGGATGATTTAGTGGATGAGTTCGCCACCGAAGCTTTGCAACACAAGCTCAAGGCAAAGCAGCCACAAGCTAGTTCCAGCAAGGTATGGAACCTCATCCCTAATTTCAAGCCGAGAGATGTTTTGTTTAATTTCAAGATGAAGTCTAAGATTGAGGAGATCAATACCAGATTGCACAATAGTTTTGAACAATGTTCAAAACTTAATTTGGTTAAGATTGTTGGAAACACCCCTACACCTACGACTAAGACTTGGCAAAGACCAGACTCTACATCTTTATTTGATGAACCTTGCATTTATGGCCGAGAATATGATCAAAGAAAGATAATTGAGTTGCTCGTAAGGGGGGATGAATCAAGTCATAACAACATTGGTGTAATTCCCATTGTGGGTATGGGTGGGATTGGCAAGACCACCCTTGCTCAGATGGTATACAATGATGAAACTGTGCAGAAGCATTTCGATCTAAAAGCCTGGGTCTGTGTGTCAGATGAGTTCAACATTATGAGAATAACAAAAGCAATTCTTGAGTCAGTGACTTCCCAGACATTTAGTTTTCACTTCCCAGACAAAAAGTGACATCCTTCCTGCTTTGAGATTAAGCTATCATGATCTCCCTTCGCATTTGAAGCAGTGCTTTGCATACTGCTCAATAATACCCAACGACTATGAATTTGAGGAAGAGGAACTAGTCTTGTTGTGGATGGCGGAGGGCTTCATTCAGCAACAAAGAGATCAGCAAATGGAAGATGTAGGAGGTGAGTACTTTCGGGAATTGCTGTCAAGGTCTTTTTTCCAACCATCAAGAACCGGTGAAAGCTCTAAATTTGTGATGCATGACCTCATCAATGATTTGGCTCAAGTAGTTGCAAGAGAAACTTGTTTTAGATTGGAGGATATATTGAAATATCCGGAGCAGTGCAAGATTATAAAGAAAGCTCGACATTCATCTTATATGCGGAAGCAATATGAGGGTATGAAAAAATTTGAGATTTTCAACAAAGCCATGCATTTACGAACCTTCTTACCATTTAACTTACCATATGGTGTGAATTGTCATTTGGCAAGCAATGTTCCCTTTAATCTATTGCCGAAGCTAAGACGCTTGAGAGTGCTCAATATGAGTATGAGAAAATAAGGGACAACAACAACCATTATACAATGACAGAATCTACGGAGCCTATGTCCGGATACAATAATCAAATGGGAAAAGACCGGGGTCGCTATAGCCAAAGCTAAGACGCTTGAGGGTGCTCAATATGAGTAGATACCGCATCACAGAAGTTCCAAATTCGGTTGGAGATTTGAAACATCTACGGTATCTTAACCTATCCCACACCACCATTGAAGAATTACCTAAATCACTAGGCTCTCTTTATAATCTACAAACATTGATGTTAAGAGAATGTACAAAATTGAAAAAGTTGCCAACAGACTTGGGAAGCCTAATTGACCTACGTCATCTCGATACTACAAATGCACATTCCTTAAAAGAAATGCCACTGGGAATAGGTAAGTTGGCTAGTCTTCAAACACTGTCCAATTTCATTGTTACTAAAAGCAATGGGCAGCAGTTAAGAGAGTTGGGGAACTTAATTTATCTTCGGGGGAGGCTTTGCCTATCTGGGTTACAGAACGTGGTGGTTCCATTAGATGCAAGGGAGGCGAATTTAATTGATAAGGAGGGGTTAGATGTGTTATCAATGGAATGGAGTGTTAACTCAGATGATTCACGAGATGGAAGAGTTGAAACAGAAGTGCTTGACATGCTACAACCTCACAAAGATTTAAAAGAGCTCCATATCAAAGGCTACCTTGGTATAGGATTTCCAAATTGGATAGGAGATCCTCTATTCTCCAATATGGCTGACCTAAGTTTAGATAATTGTGGAAATTGTGTATCCTTGCCACCACTCGGACAACTACCCTCGCTCAAAAAGCTTTACATTAAAGGAATGAGTGTACTAAAACATGTTGATCATGAGTTTTACGGGCAGGGTAGTGCCAATCCTTTTCAATTACTGGAGACTCTAAGCTTTAAGGATATGCCGAAATGGAAGTATTGGTATACTTTTGAAGATGATAAGGAAGTTGAACCATTTACTCATGTTAGTGAGCTCTCTATCGAAAATTGTCCTAAACTTGTTGGAATGTTGCCAAGTGATCTTCCTTGTTTGAATAATCTAAAGATTACAAAGTGCCCGCAATTGCTAGTTGAAGTTTCTAGGGTTGTCTACCCGTTACTCACCTCTATAGCTATGAATGACGTTCCTCTAACAAGCCTTCAAGCGGTCCTTGAGATGAGGAGTATGGTTGATGATGAAGGGATATCGGCAAATGCAAAGTCTAAGCACCCAATTTCAATAACTTCCTTGAGCATTGGGATGATTAAGAAACTCGAGCTCTTGCCGAAATGGGTCACTCATGGGCTGATGGAACTCGAAGCATTGGAGATCACAAGCTGTGAAGAACTCAAGACACTATGGAAGAATGAGGAGAGAGTGCAACACAGTCTCCCTGCATTCCGATGTTTGAAAATTGAAGGCTGCCCCCAGCTTGTTTCATTGTTTGAAGAAGATGAGGATGAAGACAACAAAGGACAACATGAGCAGCAGCAGCAGCAGCAGCAGCAACAAGAGGGACTCCCCTGCATAGTGAGGAGGCTTGAGCATCTAACAATAGATAATTGTGAAAAGCTGGAGAAACTGCCACGGCTGCTACATAACTTCACTTTTCTTGGAGAGTTGTTTGTCTATAAGTGTCCGAGTCTCGGCTCTTTTCCAGAGACAGGTTTTCCGTGCACATTGAAAATACTCAGGATATATGATTGTGAGGCTCTGCAATCCTTATTCGGGTGTTTAACACAGATTAATGACAGTAATCTTCAAGTGTTAGATGTTCGTGATTGTCCATCCCTCACAAGCTTGATATCGTGTAGAGGTGGGGGGCTACCACCCACACTCAAAGAGCTTGGGATTCGGAGGTGTAAAAAGTTGGAGGCACTGCTAGTAGTAGAGGAGGGGATGGAAATTACCTGTCCATCTCTTGAGTCTGTTTGGATCATTAATTGTGATAGGCTCAAATACTTGCCAGATGCCCTTCCTAATAATAATAATAATAATCTCAGGAATCTCAGTCAATTGTACTTGTATGGGTGTAAGAATTTGGAGTACATTCCGGAAGGATGGTTCCACTCCGCAACAAATCTGACAGATTTGGAGATCAGGGGATACAAAAAACTCAAGGCCCTACCACACGGATTGAATCTCACTTCTCTTCAAACGCTGTATATGAATATTTCACAATGGAACAACAACTTCAAGAAGATTGGTTTGCGCAGTTTATCCTCTCTTAGAATACTGTCGATTTCAGGCGCAATTAGCGTGGCAGAGGATGAAGAAGAAGAAGACGAAGAAGGTGTAGCGGGGTCCAGCTTTCCGATAGATGGGAAGTTGCTGCCCACCTCTCTGATCGATCTTCAGATCGGGGGTTTCCGAAATCTGGAGAAGCTATCTTCTAAGTTGTTTCAAAACCTCGCCTCTCTTGAATATCTTCAAATCTGGGGTTGCCCTAGGCTCAAATCTTTACCAGTGCAAAGGCTGCCTCCCTCACTTAAGAGATTGACGATCCGGGGAAGTCGGAAACTAACAAGGAAGTGTGAAAAGGGGAAAGGCAAATATTGGCCCCACTTAGCTCACATACCTGAAGTCGATGTTCATGATTAAGCTCTGTTGTGGAGATTCCCACCGCAGTTTTACAAGCACTCAAATTGCAGGTATCAAAACATAAACTAATTTTATAAATATAAACATTTAAAAAATTTTGTATTTAATTTTTATTTTTTTACTTTTAGAGATTTTAAAAAACTTAATCAAACAATCTAATTGATAGTAAAGATTTCTATCATTGCTAATTTTTAATGTCTTTTTGCTTATTGATTTTCAAAAAAATTTTGAATGAGGATCGCTGAAGTATGCAGTATATCATATTTTCAAGTTAATCGAATTTTTTTGGATGAATAAGTTATTTGCGAATTCATATAAAAATTTAAAATAAAATGAATTTGTATTTTCAATTAATAAAAAATATTTTTGAAAATAATGAAAAAAATATGTTAAATTTAAATTTGGAGGACCATTATGGAATGAGTAAATAATTTTTAAAATTTTGTTTGGTTTTGAAGTTTTCAAAAAAAAAATTAAAATTTTTAATTCGTATTTTTTTTAATATATTGGCTAATTTGTTTTATTTTTTTATTTTTTAGATGCATCTAATCTACATATACTTAAAAAAAATTAAAAATTAAAAAATCTTTAAAAAAAATTAATAAATACAAAATACATACAAAAATGTATTAAATTTGTATATTTATTAATATTTAGTGATTTTTTAAACGATTTTTTTCATAAATTTTATACATTTTAGGTGTATTTAGATTGAGTGGATCTAAAAACTTGAAAACCTTGATTAAATACTTAAAAGTTCACTAAAAACAATAAAATACAGATTGAAACTTAAAAATTATTTTTGAGAACTCCAAAACCAAATAGAGTTTCAAAAATTATTTCATATTCTAAATACTAAATGAGTTTTGGATTTTTAAATTTTTGAAAACTATTTTTAGAATATACAGCCAAACAAATTTTTAGAAAATTATCTTTCAAAATTGATTTAAAAAACCAAACCTTAGTTTTTTGGGTTTTCTGGGCTAGTCATTAATAAAATATTTTTGTATTTGTTAAGTTGTTTCCTATATAGTGACCGGGAAAAGTTAGATTGAAAGTGATTAAGCTGGTACAAATTCTTTTTGAAGGGAGAATTTTTTTGGCCAGTTAGATGAGGGTAATGTTAACAAAAAAAAAAAGAAAAAAAAAGAAAAGAAAGACAATGAAATGCTGTGATGTAAGTAGTTTGCAAATGCTTAGAAAAATTAAACAATTTTTTTGCTATTGTAAGAGCTAACTTAAAAAGTTATAAACAAATATACGCATATCAGGTGTCCAAATTTCATTTTTGTGAGTTGTTTAATAAATATGGAAACTGAAAGCAATTTTAATTGTATATCTGGAGTCGTTACATTTTTTGTAAGAAAAAAAATTTAGAGTATTTAAGTTTTATCAATCTATGAGGGATTATTTGATACAGAAATGTGCTTTCAAGGATCTGAATACAAAGAAAGGCTTCTTCCGATAGATTTCCTCGTCTGCTTTTATTTCTGAGGCAACCACAACAAATGGAAGAGTTCACATTTCTTTCCAGCTTGGTGCATTTGTCCCTGGATATCCTGTCCATCCAATGATTGTTTGCTGTCCCCTTGTACACTTTGACCAATCCTGGTAAGAATTTTCTTGAGTTGAAACCGTTTTGGTGTTGTCTTTTGTAATATCTTTACCTAACTTGCATCATATGGCCTTTCATTGTGTTTAGGGGAAATATAGCTTTGGGAAAGCTCATGTTTAGAATCTTCATAGTTTCACAATGTCATGGAGGTATGTTGAGTGATTTTTTATTTATCTATAGTTGCATATAGTGAAAATGCAGTGAGCTTTGCTTCCCCCACTATTTTTGTTTGTAAAATTTTTGGGTAGTATGTTGTATGAGGTGTGTCTACTGCATTTGTGTGTGGAAGCCTGCCCTTTTTTTTTTCGCATCTGTGCTCAAAGAAAATGTAGTGAGCTTGGCTTCCCCCACTATTTTTGTTTGTAAAATTTTTGGGTAGTATGTTGTATGAGGTGGCAATTCATATATATAGGTTGTTATAGTGATGCCCCAATTTGCTATTTTTCTTTTGATAACTAACTCACTCTTACAAATCATCAATACTGATTATTCATCAGCTTAAATGTACATGCATTTATATGATGTGTCCTTAACTATATTATAATTTGAATTTTGGTTACTGGATAACTTGTATGTTGTAAAAAGTTGAATGAAGTCATTTATTAAATTATATAGGTCAAGTATCTTCCTGTTGTTTTACCCCTTGAAAATTAGTAGGAAAATGCTACCCATTTTGCTCAGAGGATGAATCGACATTATTTGATTAATCTTTGCTGCCTTGTTGGCTTTAGTTGATATTTTAATATTAAGTATATTCTTATACATCAAAGTTTTTAATGGGCACATTACATACAATTTGTTAATTTTTTGTGTATTGTTAACATATTTTGTATTCTTTTTGCTTATTGATTTTCAAAAAAATTTTGAATGATGGATCGCTGAAGTATGCAGTATATCATATTTTCAAGTTAATCGAATTTTTTTGGATGAATAAGTTATTTGCGAATTCATATAAAAATTTAAAATAAAATGAATTTGTATTTTCAATTAATAAAAAATATTTTTTGAAAATAACGAAAAAAATATGTTAAATTTAAATTTGGAGGACCATTATGGAATGAGTAAATAATTTTTAAAATTTTGTTTGGTTTTGGAGTTTTCAAAAAAAAGTTTTTAAATTTTTAATTCGTATTTTTTTAATATATTGGCTAATTTGTTTTATTTTTTAGATGCATCTAATCTACATATACTTAAAAAAAATTAAAAAATCTTTAAAAAAATTTAATAAATACAAAATACATACAAAAATGTATTAAATTTTAATTGTATGCCTGGAGTTGTTACATTTTTTGTATGAAAAAAATTTAGAGTATTAAGTTTTATCAATCTCTGAGGGATTATTTGATACAGAAATGTGCTTTCAAGGATCTAAATACAAAGAAATGCTTCTTCCGATAGATTTCCTCGTCTGCTTTTATTTCCGAGGCAACCACAACAAATGGAAGAGTTC